TTTTGCAACGGACTAATATATCCAAATTAACTTTCTGTCTGAGTGAAATTCAATTTTTCCCGTAGTTACTTCACAACCTGATTTGTTCTTTCGTTTGAGTCCTAGTTGCATCACCTCATTCGCAAACAATGTTATTTTTTCAGGGCGAGGAAGATCTGCCGGATTTGGTCGCCCTAATCACCACTGTCAAAAATGACCCTTTAGTTGCTAAAGACGGAACGATGATAATACTGAGCAGTCTTTTGATAGCCTTTGTCAACTCAGGTACTCCATAATTTGACAAGAGTAGAACTAGCTGATCATAATTACTTGAGGAAACTATGACTCCAGATATCGAGTATTTCTGCGGCATCTGTCAACACTTCTATGCGTAGATTGGAACGAGTTCGAAAATGTCAGGTTTACTCTAGCCCCTTAATGAAATGAATTGAAGTTTGGTAATATAGGTGGAAGATTCGCTAGCATCAACACTGGTAGAAGAAACTTTTGTGGAATCCAAGTAAGCGTGTGTTACTTTTTAATCGCCAATCTTCGCTTTTGACAGTTATCTACTTTATCAAAATCTCTGTTTCAGCGACGATGAAGACGAGTAAGTTTATTTTTTCGTGCTGCAAGTCCTAGTCAGAGCATGCTGCTTCATTTAACCTCTTTTCATTCACCACTCATTCCACTTCTCAGAGCCTCCAGACTCGCGCGGGAGAAAACACAGCGAAATAAAAAGATTAAACGATATCTACTTGTTGGCGCCGCGGGAGGGGTGGGAGGAGTTTTAATAGGTAGGAAATGAATCCACAAAGTGCTGGAGATCCCTGAATGCATGACCTTTTCAGGCTTGACAGGAGGATTGGCTGCTCCACTCGTGGCGGCTGGTGCAGGTGCCATCATCGGCACAGCAGGAGCGGCAGGAATCGCCACTACCGCAGGGGCAGCTGTTCTTGGAACTACTTTTGGAGTGGCCGGAGCCGGTCTAGCTGGTTACAAAGTAGCTGACTTAGCTTGTAATCTGCATATCCTACTCCTGAGTCGAATTCGTTTGCAGATGAACAAACGGGTCGGAGCCATCGAAGAGTTTGCAATAGAGTCTCTTTCTGAGGGGTTGAGTCTACACTGCGCCTTGGTTGTTTCTGGTTGGATAGATGAGGATACGGTAAGCAAAGGGTTACT